TAGTATCAAAAGTATATTCTAAGCCTTCTTTTTCGCCATCATCTTTTATACTAGGTAGAGCCCTGATATGAAGTGCACTGGTGACTGTCCTCTGGACTCTGCTTGTCGATGGAAAGGTTGAATGCGCAGAGGACACCTTGCACCTTGGAAGCAAGGCCTGGCAATCCACTTGTGAAAAATCAGCCATTGAAAACCCAAAGCTCTGAAAATAAGGGATTGTCAGAGTAGACAGCAACTGGTATTGAAGTATGAAATATATATAAAAGAAATTGGCCCCTGTTATATGTTCTGAAACAAGTAATATTTCAGAGTGTAGGCCATGGAAGAATGGGAATTTTTGTCTCATGATCTCAACGTTTCCCTTATCATTTCCTCCCACATAGTTCTTTTTATGTGTCAGGTAATGCAGAGAACCTCTTTGTCTATATACAAAGGATCGGTAATGTTTGAAAAGCATTCAGTTCTTTTAACTTTTGTGCATTCTCAATTAACTTAATAGAAGAAAAGCTTCTAAAGGCTAGAGAGGATGTACCTCAAGAGACTGTAAGTAGAGATCTCACTTGAGCATTTCTTTAATCAAATGGCACTTCAGATAAAAGCAAATTAGGAAATAAGTCCATAGAGGAAATGCATGATCTTCTCACAGTATTTATTTTTACAGTTTTATTGGCACATACTCCACATGTTATACAATTCAACCATTCAATCATATCAAGAAGAATTGTACAATCATTGCCACAATAAATTTTAGAACATCCCCTCACCCTCCATACATTAAATCACCTTTAAAATGAGTTGTGTCATCAGAAGAGAGGCCACAAACAGCATGTTTAAATAGCATTTTTCATATCAGTAAATGCCAACTATATTTTTGCCATTGCTCAGGATACAAAAAACAAACAAACAAAAAACCCTTCAAATCAACTTGACCTCTTCTCTTTTTGAAACTTCCTGTCCCAAAAGCTAAGCGGTTCTGTTGGCTTGTCTTTTGAAATACTCAGAATCTGAGTACCCTGCCCATCCTCCATTGGTGTTGGCATCACCAGAACAGGCCATGCTCATCTCTCACCTGCATTTTCACAAGATTGCCTGATAAATTTCTCTGTTTCAAACCTTGTTTCCTGTCTACTCTAACCACAGCAGTCAAAAAAGATTCTCCAGGACCCATGATAGCTCTTGCAACTCCCCTTATACAACTCTTTAATATTCCCCTTTGCATTCAGAAAGTCGTTTTTAAAAAAAATGTCAGTATTTAAAATACCTACAAGGCTATACACCTCCATGTGGATAACCCCTAATCCCCTACTCTGTGCTCTGTGACTTGAGCCACATCTGTGCAGTGAAGTGAAACTACTCGGGAGGGGGTTTTTTTAGCCACAGTTTTTGTAACCCTTAGCAAAGACTAACAGGAAGCATGCAAATGAGGCTGGTGTTGAGGGAGTCAGAAGTAGGAACAGAGAATCCCTCCACCAAGGGGAAGAGAGGCTATAAACACCATGTTTAAGCTCAATGCAAGGACAAGTAGCAGCAGCAGAGACCCTGGAGAAACCGTGGTGGCTGCAGCAATCCTGAGGCAGAGACACAGGCCTTCCTGGCCTGTGGAGTGAGTAAATTGTGTGCCATCAGGCATCAGCATGCTAAAAGGCGCCACGTGGCAAGAGGCTAAGGCCACCCTCTTTCCAACGTGGTTGAGAAGAGATGCTGCAGACACAAATATTATAACACTCATGTGTTCTGAACCTGACTTCTGGCAACGTGTCAACTTCCCTAGGAAGCCCTCAGAATCATGAGTATTGATTGTGAGTTCACTGTGCCCGTTGCAATAGATGATCAAACCCAGTAGAGAAACAGAGTACTGTGGGACAGACCGTTGGTGTCAAAAATGGGTAAAGAAGTTTGGTGGGTGGAAGCATGCCTGACTTCAACTTCATAGCAATCAGCTTTGAGCTGGTGGGGAAATGTATCCACCTTACCTTGTGTAGGTGGAGGAGACATGGCCTCTATGCCATTTCCTCAACCGCTTCCTTGTTCCTCAAACAAGGAAGATTCTTCCTTAAGGCTTTTGCTCTACTGGTTTTCTGTTCCTGTAATGTTTTTCCCAGTAAGTCAAGTGGCTAAATTCTTCATCTCAATCAAGAGTTTAACAAAATCCCTCAAGGAACTTGCTATGTGAATGGCAAGCAGTTTGACCCCTATCCTTTTTTATTGTTTATTCCCTGTGAGTCCTTCTGAAAAATTCCAGTTCCCTTATAACAGAGAATTTGGTGAATTTCATTCACTGACAAATCTCTAGCAATTCACATAGTGCCAGGCACCTACTGGGCCTCCCTAAATATGTATTAACAACTAGAGGATAATGTAAACTCTGGAGAAAAATTACTTACTTCTTAAGCTAACAGAAAGTACAACCACAACTAAAGCCAGAACTGTAATGAAGCAGAAGCAGTTGACAATTTTGGAAGGGAAGGCAGCGAATAACTTTACTGGATGTTTTCTTTGACCTGCAAAACACAAATGTCATCCTGAAGGTTATCGGGGGAAGGCACACACACACACACACACACACACACACACACACACACATTTAACACAGTATCATCAATCAAGTGCCACTGAGCCACAATCCACCTACTGACAA